GAATTGTACACATATAGAAAACATGATCTATTTACTTAATAGCCACAAACTAGTTACCTCTTTTGCTGATCTGCATTTAAGCATATCAAAGACAAAGATCATGATAGTGGCTACATAACAATCATCCACACATAACCACGATTGACCAGTTTGAGATTGTGAGCTCATATTTATGTCTTGGATCATTGATTACAAGTACAGGGGCACCAGAGGAAAAAAATAAAACACGAACTCTAAAAATGAGATAAACTGCTTAATATTCCCAATACTGACATACGGATGTAAATCTTGGACCCTACGACGTAGTGAAAGAAGAAATATAAACGTCACTGAAATGTTATGTTGTTATTAAGATGCAAAAGACCTATGTGTGAGTTAAAAGAAATGACCAGAGACAAAGATCTTTGGAGATGGACAATACACATCACAATGACCGCTACACTCTTTCCAGGGGTCAGGACTGAAGAGAGAGACCAGCCTTGGTAGTAAACATCAGACAGACACAAGTATAATAATTTCGGAAATGTACAAGTCTATGAAGGTATTAAAAAACGGCAAAGCAGCTAGACCAGATAACAAATTCTAGCCAAACTATTTAACACCATCTTTAATAGTACTTATATTCCTCAACGTTGTCTAAAATGTACAGTTATCTCGATTCATGAAAAATCACTCTCTATCTCTATCACTCAGTATCTGCTAGCGCGTTCCTTTTCGTGATACAAATCCGCATTGTTCTTCGGCTATCAGACCATCAGGCTCATCAGGCCATTCACCTGTGATCCATATTATGTTGCACATATCCAGTATTACATCTACACCAATCTCACCTATTCCTTTTTGAATCCCTGGGGAGACTCAAAAAGCCCCCTTTTTTTCTTAGTTATTTGAGAGCCATCTCTACTTCTGCTTATTAGATTTTTTTGCCTCTCTGATTGCATGTTTCTTGTGTTCTGAGAATGGTGCATCTTTTTAAGTGTCTCTGTACAGTTTTGAGCAGTAATTTTTCCATATCTCTGCAATGCTCTCTATGTCGGTTTTTACTTCTCCATTATGGTTTTGAATATCTTAAAGTTGTGGCTTGAACTCTCGGGCAAAATATTTAACTTTTTTAAATAGGTCATGACTTTCATGGCGGTTTGAATATGGCTTCAGTTCTTGACACACGTTATTTATATGGTTGTTTTTGTCTCTGAGGACATACCTTTTATTTTCCTGTTCAGTTCAGTTATTTCTTAAGCGTGGCTTCCTGTTTTTGTGTTACTCTTCTTTATTCCACTAATTCTATGATTTCTCATGACATCCAATGTTTGTTCTTTTGGGTTTTACGCGGTGTGCACTCTTCGTCTGCTGAATATATCCATCTTTTTATTCCATTCCACGTTTTATTGATGTCTTCTAATATTTGTGGTTTTTCTTCGTTTATCAGTTTCAACTGAAATTCTTCTGTATTATTTACCCTTAGCTGTTTTGTATGATGTATTTTTCTAGTTGTATGTAGTTTCAGCCTGCAGTTCACTTTTAGCAGTTTATGATCTGATCCACAGTATGCTTCAGGCATAGCTTTTACATTTAATACTGAGGTTTTCCATCTTTTCCGCACGAGTATGTAGTCGATTTGATTTTTATGTTCTTTATTGAACATAATGACCCGACAATATCTCTCAAATGTGGTTTATTTTTCCGACCTTGGCGTTAAAGTCTCGAATAATATATACTGGCTCTTTTTGTGGGATTTTCTTCAAGATATTTTCTATATTGTTGCTAATGTCATCAATGTCTTCATTTGGGCAGAAGTCTATCGTCTATTGTTTCATATTGCTTGATATATTTCGATATTCTATTGTTTATGTGTGGCTACACCATTGTATCCTTTTTTAGATCCTGATATGTAGTGTGTTTTTTTGTTTTAAAATGTCCTTGATCTCTCCAGTGTGTTTCTGCTAGACCACATAATATGTTTATATTATTTGCCTTATTAGCCTTTTCTTTACTATGTGAAGTTTTCCAGTTTGGAGAAGACCCCTAACGTCCTATATCCCTATATTAATCGATTTTCTACTTTGAATCTTCTGTGTTGGGCGTTTTCTTCCAGTCGCCCATTTACCACGAGTGGCCTGGTTGCTTGCTCACGCGTGCCCGGTGACCCATTTCATACTGTCTGACCCGGAATCAGGGCAGCGCCGGTCGCTACCCGAATCGCATGTCATCTCTCCTTTTTGTGTTATGCTATTCATTCATTTTCATAGATGATGCCAAAGCATTTAACAGGTTTGGGCTCCCAAGATCTAAAAATCATTCAGTACCTCTACGAACACCAAATAGCCATAGTACAATTGAAAATATCACACAAAAACTGCACCAGTTAAACATGTAGTCACAAGAGGTTGTGTGCGAAGCCCCATGCTTTTTAACACGTATTTTGAGACAGTATTCCAAAACTCACTCGAATACGCAGATGATGGCATAAGAGTGAATTATCAAAAAACTATGTTTCTTAAAACCTCAATTTCAAAATATGAAATAAAGTGCTACATATATTCCAGACTTTTGTATGGGTTGAGCAGTCTGAGGAGACTTGAAGGTTATAGAATAGATGTGGTTACATCGAAGAATTTTGCGAATACTTCGGACTGCTTATACTGTTGTATGTTGGATACTTAGCACTTAGTGCCTGGAGTTCTAGAATAACTACCAGCCGCCGCTGGAGAAGATGAACGAAGATTCTTTTATTCCATCTTCTTATTAATTGAGAAATTATATGGTTTCGATTGACACCGACGAGAGTTTCACCGAGGGCTCTGTTGTCAACAAAGTGCTACTGGCAATATAGAGTACTTTAGCAGTTCGAAATTTCTTACATTTAATTATATCCTTAATGAAAGGTTTATTAGTACTCTATGCTCAGAAGGCACCTCGATTTTTAACAGAGATGTAGGTTCCTCAGACCTCGATGTGTAATTGAAACTATTCTTCTCAATACGTAGGAATACCGGCAGAGCGTCGACTATTTGACTCTTCACGGATTGCGAAAGAATTCTAAATTCTTTCCAGACCTTTACTTATTTCGACAATCACGTTTGAATAGCGAAGAGCTCACTTCGTTACCTCTCGCGAAATAATTCTTTCACCCTTCGGACCTTTACTTATTTCGGACGAATAGTTTAGCGGCAGAGTGCTGCATCAGCTCGTTCATCAATTCGAGGAATAAGTCCTCTCGGGCTTTTATTTATTCCTGACTGTCGGTTACCTATCGGAACACTGGCAGTTCGACATGTGAAATAATTTTTTTGAAATAAATAAAAGTCGATCCGACTTTTATTTATTTCAAACCAATATCTGTCTGAACGGCGAAGTGTTCTCTTCGAGCTGTTTGATTATCTTTACGAAATAATTCCGTTTCCAGACTTTTCTTTATTTCGAACAAAGGATACTCGAACAGGCAAATGCCGGATTCCTTCACTTGTTATGTGTGTGTATTTATGTATTTATCTCCATCCTTATATTTTATCCATCAATTAAAAGAGATTTGGAACCGTTCTTCATAACGAAGTCTCGCAGTTCGATGATTATTGGTGTAGGTGAGAAATAAAACACAGAGTTTCGTAAAAATAACTCAGCTAAATAGGTCTTCTTGCCAAGAAGAAGAGTTGCCTCCTAGTAGCACAGTTAACTGGTTTTCAGTTCACTTGCTGATTTCACCCAATAAGTCGGTCTTACAGTCCACAACTAGTTTATTTTATTTCGGAGCAAAAGCTGTACGTACAGCCATTCTAATATTATATTATAAGAAAAGGCATTACTATAACTATTCTGGATGGAACTATTCATTCATTAGTTACCTAGTTGTGCCTACTTTACGATAAATATTTTTTTCTGTGGGGATTATTATATCGACAAAAAAATGTATGCCAACTTTCATGAAATCGTACTACTACTGAAGAACTACTACTGAAGATTACCGAAGTTTTGAAATCCATAACGACAATGTTGAAACTTAAGACGTCATTTTAGAATAGTTTCATAATTTGTAATGCTGAAAAAGGTGACATTGTTAAACTGTTATTAGTTGAACGAAGCAATTAATGAAATATTTTTTGAATGAATAATTTTTTTCATTTTAAAGTCAGAAATTCTCGTTATTTCATGTTAGAATTATTTTTTAATTGTTTTACTACCTTTTATTTTAACCAGACTGGTGAATGTTAATATCAAAAAAATATCTGGCAGATGTAATATTTTATTACTGTTTTAATACTAGTAGGAAAATTACAAATAAATTATTGCGCAAATAACACTAAACAGTGTCGCCATACTCGCCATGATCCTGCCAAAGTTATGAAAGAAATTGGCTAAGCTGTGCGGTGTTTCTTAAGAGCTCTCGGTTTTATATTCATTTCTTGATTTTTCAATCCTCTATATGTAGGAATTGAAGATATATTCCAATGATTCTCTAGAATTATATTAACGACCGAAAATTATATAGATAATTTTTAAATTTATAGTTATGTGACATGTTTTTTTTTAATTTTTTTTAATAGTATAAACAGAAAACTAAAAATGATTACCAAGGCCGCCTCTACGAAGGCAATAGCAAACCATGGAGCCGATTTCGCTTAGTATAGCTCCTTTACATTTAATTGTTCGGAATCGACGTTAAACTCTAGCTCTATAATAATATAATGTATACATTAATCATACTTACCATAGATATATGCAGAGGAGCAGCCTATGTCCAAAAAGGTTTTTTTAAGATTCAATCAGATTATTACAAAATATTTTTAAATACAATGCATTATTCATCATCTGTGAACTCAGATATTTAAAATAAAGTCATGGTCTTCCTTTCGGATTTCTGGGATATAGAACTTTTATAATGACTACATAGATAGATAACCCCATAAATAGATCTTTTATAAAGGATTTGAAATAAAAATTTTTTTCCATAAATCAGTTCAACATGACATAATAAATATTTTACTATTGTTACTTGCCTTTAGGTGTTGGCGCTACTGCCGTTGTACACGGTGCCCTCTGCAAACCCCGAAACGAAAAGTGTGCCATTAAAAGAATTAATTTGGAGAAATGGAATACATCTATGGATGAACTACTCAAAGAAATCCAGGCTATGAGCAGCTGTAACCACGAAAATGTTGTCACTTACTACACGAGTTTCGTGGTCAAAGAAGAATTATGGCTTGTTTTGAAGTTATTGGAGGGTAAGTTTTTAGTTTAAAGTCACATCTATATTGAGATTATATATTTACATTAGAGAATAGTACATTAATAAGTCATTTTTATTTGTAAAAATAACTCAATATCAAAATCTGAACTGAAATAAATTTCCTGACGACTTCAGTATCGTCACACAACTACCAATGTGTTTTAATTTTCTCTTTACTCATTTAAAATACGGACAAATCATTGCTCATACATACAAACAAAATGTTAAATAAAAAATTCCATTTTTAACTTCATAATATTCTTATTCTGAATTATTCGGAACCACAATTTGCAAATCAAACTCTTTTTTTTAAGAACTCATTTTGATGAAAGATTGCGTATTATCTTAGAAACTGTAGGCCGAATGTTTCAGTTATTCATTTCGATTAAAAATAATGTTCTTGATTTACAAAACAAAACAATAACTGTTAAGCCCTAATTATACTACTACTCGATCATGTACATCGCGTCGGTTCTTTTTTTATACAAAAATGGAATTAAAACCAATTTATAAAAAAAGGAAACGCAAAGTTATCCGTTTTTGAACTAAACATGACAAAATAATCAGTTTCTTACTTAAAAAGACTTAATTGCATGCGCAACGTATTATTTTACGTGTATGGTTATGGTAACTATACTACGCTGCCACGTACCGACATTAACAAGCTTTATAACGATTCTGCAAATAATTAAATTTATTTATAAGGAGTCTTTTATACTTTCTTCAAACGCCTGGGAAAAAACGTTTTCGAAGTTCTGTAAAATTTCGCTGCGGATTTGGAGCGATGTATTAATTTTTAATCAGTCCCTGAAGTAATCAATTATCTGGCGTTGAATAAAGTACAAACAATCCGAAATTTGTTATGCGTTAAAGTTAATGTTACCGTCACATTTATTACTCAATTATATGAAGTATTTAACAGAGTGACTGGTTGCAACCATTGCTTATGCGTTTTTAAATTGTGTACGCTGTAAAGGTTATTTAAATATCTCTCAAAATATTTACCAATATCTAAATGTGTGATATTTTCTAAGAAGGACCAGTAAATTAAAATAATCAGTGTGAATGGTCAAGAGTAAAAACTACAACTACCTTAGTACAAACGTCAATGAAAACTGGGACCATTCTCTGGAAATACAATCTAGGATAGTGAAAATAAGATCTGCATTTCAAAAAATGGATAAGCTATTCAAATGCCACGATTTATCAGTAACCATAAAAATCAGGTTACTACGATGTTATATCTTTCCTATACTGTTGTACGGAGTTGAATCGTGGACTCTCACAGACGCTACCAGTAAGAAAATTGAGGCTTTCGAAATGTGGCTTTATCGTAGAATCCTGAAGATATCCTATACTAACCACGTTACTAAACAGGACGTTTTATTAAGAATGCAAAGAGGAAAAGAGTTGTTAACCACAATAAAAACAGCGAAAATTAAATAATTCGGTCACATCATGAGGAATAGCGAAAGATATGGGTTGCTGCAATTAATTCTTCAAGGAAAAGTAGAAGGAAAACGAGGACCAGGAAAACGAAGAATCTATGTACGTGGTTCAACACAACAACCAAAAATCTTTTCTGAGCCGCAGTTTGCAAAATACAGATTGCCATGATGGTCGCTAACATCCGAAACGGATAGGCACTACAAGAAGAAGAAGAAGACATGTGTGGATTCATATAAATAATTAGGTGAACGTCATTTTTGAATTTGGTGTGGATAACCATCAATGAATTGAAACATTCAATGTCCAGATATCTCGCATCAAGGTGGTCTTTTAAATTATGCAGAAACTTTCCCAATAAACAAGAAATATGTTTTTATTGTCAGATCTTTCTGATAATAAAAACTAATTAATTTAAATTGGTTTACACATGACACTTTAACCATTCTCCTCTGTTCCTAATACAGATATCTAAAGTTTTGATTTCAACTTTTTACTCGCTTAAAAATGCGTAGCGTATAGTTTTCACAGCAATTTGTTAAGCAACATAAGTTTTAGAAATTTTATCGAGGATGTATGAAATTATAGTGGTATTTTTATTATTTGATAACTCTGGCAATTATCTAGTAACACCAGAGTTATATTATATCTCCATATTTTTAAGGAAAGTTGCAGATAAAAATGTTAGAAATTTTCTATAGAGTGTAATTCCAGTTTTTAAAATTATCTTTCAATATATGTAATATTCCATTAAATCAGAATCTATAAACGTCATTTCTTAAATGTATTTACTTAAATTTACTTAAATGTATTTACTAAGTAAAAAAAGGAAAAGACAATTCGAAAATTAGTTTACGGATTTTATTTACTAAGTATTTGAAGTTTTAATTTTTGTTTACTAATTGATGGAATGATTAGAAAGCAAAGATCTGGAACCAAATGACAGCAGAATAATACAAAAGCTGTACTGGAATCAAGATGCCTTTATTGGAACAGAGGCTCATGATACCGAAGTCATTAATATTCAAAGAGGCATAAAACACGGTTGCGTTCCATCTCCTGTGTTGTTTAACTTTTAACTTGACAAGGAAAAAGTTATAAAGAAAAAAATGTATGTCTAATTTAAAATACCTGTGTAGTTAGTAAAACAATTCCATGCTTTAATTTTATTTAACTCAATATGACTTTGATATCGGCAGGTGTATGTTGATATACATTTTCAATGAGAGTAGAAAGTATACATGTATATCTAAAGAGACAATGCGAATTTAAATATCTAAATTTGAGTTCATCTTTGGAAGCATAGATTTCTTATCGCGGGCTACGGACGGAGCGGTGGATCGTGCAGAGGTATGATAAAATAACGACTGAAACGGCTGTAACGACAAATCGCTGAATAGATTGATGATGTTGAATAAAAAAAATCCGCTTCATAGTTATAAAAAATATAGAAAAAATACGTCTTAAAAACTTGTCACAGGATAAACAACACAACATGTATATTTTCGAAAATATATGGACAGGACAGTTTAAAATTCTTGGTTGATTATTGTTATGTATTTGCGTTTGTAATTTTTTGGTTACTATAATTCTGTAAAAATTCTGTTTTATTTATAGGAAATATCATAATTGGCATTTTGTAACTACCATGTTAAGAATTACAGGGAAGCTGACAAAGAAACTGTGATATTTATTTAATATGGTGTGAGATATGAAAACATGAACACGTGGAATATATTGGCATTGTATTATTAATTGAAAAATATTTATTAAATAGCAAATTATGTGTGAATTCAACATGAACATGAAACATTTATTATTTTTAAAATTTTATATAGAGTAGTCTCTCTTTATAACGATTCCCTATATAAAGTATATGTAATAAAAGTGTCTGTTCAGATTTGCCTCAGGTAGTCAGCGGTTCTCTTTATTTATCCTCAAGTACTACAGCCGACCAGTAGGAGGTTCGGTACCACAAAGCAGGTAGAAAAGGGAAAGCATAACAGAGTGGCTGTAACTAGAGTCATAAATTATTTTTCGGGCGTTAATCCGAAATACGACAGGGTAAAACGACCTCACTAACGATAATTCCCCTATAACGATGAAAATAGTAAACGTTGGTTGTTTCGTCATAAGGATAATGTATTAATTCTTTCTCTATACCGATATCATTCTCTCTTTATAGCGATGACTTTTCAGCGTTCAATAGTCGATAATAAATGTGTTATTGTGTTTATAGTTCAGACTACCTGAGTCAAGAGTGGCAAGGTCATTGTCCAGCGGTTGTTTTGTTTTGCGCTTAAGGAATGCGGCCACCCATTCTACTCATTCTTATCAGAGGGTTAAGTGACCCGCTTTTATTGTTCGGGCGGCGTGCCTAACTGTTATCACACAGTTGTTGTCATATATTGACGACTTTTCATTTCCAGTTTGAATTGTGTCTCAATGTGTCAACATCCAACATGTTTTCGAAAAAGCGTAAAGTGCTCTCGGTGGAGGAAAAGTTATCTATAACTCGAGAAATAGAGAAAGGTGACAAAACTGCGGTACAAGATCAACTACAAATCAGTGGAAAGGCTCGTGATGTTACAAAAACGTAACGGATGATTGGCTAGAAACGTGTGGCCTGGGCTGAAGGCACGATATGCGTCAGGTGACATTTTCAATGTTGATGAGACTGGATTTTAAAATGACACTCTAAGAAACGCATTACAGTTTTAGTGGCCGCTAACATGACAGGTTGGGTGAAGCGAAAATTGTTAGTGATAGAGAAGTCGAAAACCCCACGTTGCTTTAAAAACATAAAAAATCTACCGGTGACCTATAAAGCAAACAAGAGTGCGTGGATGAATTCGGAAATTTTTGAAAAAACGATAAGAAAGTGGAATATCGTGCGTAAAGGAAAAAAAATTCTTCTGCTTGTAGACGATTGTCCTGCTCATCCTGTACTGTGCATACTGCTCAAAACATTGAACTTTGTTTTCTGCCAGCAAACACAACGAGTGTCCTTCAGCCAATGGACCATAGTGTCATCAAGAGTTTAAAAAGGCATTACATGAGAAACTTTTGATGGAATTGGTTGAGAGCAATGGCGATCTTAAACTAAACATTCTTGACGCCATCCTAATGATTAGTAAATCCTGAGATGAGGTGACGAGCAATACAATAAAACATTCCTTCAAACACTCAGGATGGCTGGAAGATCAAGGATTGACTGATGATGAAGATGACCTGCCATTCGATGTTTGTTGGGCCAGACAGTTTGAACCTGCTATCACCTACAGACCGGAAGAGCTAACAGATTTTAAAGAAATTGATGAAAATGTAGCTACAACATCTGGACTTTCTGACGAGGACATCCTAAAAGAAGTTCGTGTAGAAGAAGAAAACAGCGACCCGAAAGTGGAAGCAGAGCCAGAACCAGCTCAGACTCCTCAAACAAAAGTACTGCATCGATTCTTCATCCACCAGGAAGACGATATAAGTGCTGTGTAATATTCTATGCGTCTTCAGGACAAGGTCAGGTCAACCTGACAGTCAGTCAAGGAA